CCCCCCCCCCCATTAACCTAGAATGTTAGCAGAATAAGAAAAATGTTTCATTACTTTAAGAATGTAGTTATTGAGAGACCTGGTAAAGAGAACTTCCAGGAAAACTAAGCAACTTAAAGTCTGGATGGGAAGAGCCTCTCATACAGCACAATGTGCGACCTTTACTTTTTAAATTTTTTTATTGTGGTAAAATTAATATAACATAAAATTCATTTAAACCATTTTAAAGTATACAATTCAGTGGCATTTAGTACATTCACAGTGTTGTGCAAACACCACCACCACTACCTAGTTCCAGAACATGATCACTCCCGCAACTGGCCTCCCCTTGTCCCTGACAACTGTGTATCTGCTTTCTGTCTCTATAGATTTGCCTGATCTGGACATTGCATATAAATTAACTCATGTAATATATATATAGCCGTTCAATACTGTTAAAAAGTCAAATGAGCCCTAGCTGGTTTGGTTCAGTGGATAGAGCATTGACCTGTGGACCGAAGGGTCCCAGGTTTGATTCCGGGTCAAGGGCATGTACCTCGGTTGCAGACTCCTCCTGGGCCCAGGCCCTGGTCGCTGCATGTGCAGGAGGCAACCAATCGATGCATTTCTCTCCCATTGATATTTCTCTCTCTTTCCTTTCTCTTCTATTCTCTGTAAAAATCAATAGAAAAATACCTTGGGTGAGGATTAAAAAAAAAACACCACACAAAACAAAACAAAAGCATACCCTCAAAAAAAAAAAAAGTCAAATGACATGAAAATAATTTTGATTTTCTGGACCTCTGGAAAGAATATCAGGATCCCTGAGAGGTCTGAAAACCAGACTCAGAACTGCTGGTCAAGGCGTGGGGCGCCAGCCCCCTTACGACGACGACTCCAGCACAAGGGGATTATCATGTCCCTATGTCCAACATGAGGCCACCCCATCTCAGCGTCTCATCTCCCAGGAAAACTCTGTCAGCCGCTTTCTGCAAAGTTGAGATCAGAATATAGTAATGGCTTCACATTTAGACTGCTCAAAGGAACCAAACAGCCAAATGGGGTCACATTTTAATTTATTAGTGATAAATCTGAATGTGGTTTTAAAAAAAAAAAAACTGTACCATAAACTTATTTCCAATAAAATTCTGATCACTTTCTGCCACTATCGTTACATTTATAATCACAGTAATTATCTTTTACCTGTGATGAGAGACATCATGTACTTTTGAGCACCAAGCAGCAGCAGTGCCATAAATTGCTAGCCCCTTTCTCCTCTAATGATCCCAGCTTATTTTATTCTTCAAGTATTCTTCTCAGAGAAATTAGCACACTTATTATCCAGCATATTCAAATGTTAATATGCACACTGTTCTGGTGCTGTTATGAAACCCATTTTGCTCAGGAGCTAAAATTATGTTGCCATTCTGCTTGGTGCTAGAGGTTCTGTGCTTGAAACCTGTTTCCCACATGCAAAGAGCCAAGGTTACTTAATTAGAATGCTGAGCTAGAATGAGGAGAGTCTGACACTTAATATAGAACCTGTAAACTAACTGAGGTGAGCAAGTATAAAGCCTACACATTTTGAATGAACTATCCATCACTGTGGAGACAATCAATATTTGAGCAGACTGGCTTTGGGACATGTTTAACGTTGTTCCTCCAGGGTCTCTACTAAATTCTCACTCTGCAGCTTAAACCGTCCCAAATCAGAGTTCTGGCAGTTGGAAACATTTTCTTCATACTGAGTTGAAATATGCTCAAATTTTCACTTGTTTGTTGTTGCTCTGCCCTCTGGAGATGTCTGCTCTCTGCTCTGTGACTGCCCTTCAGAGACTGAGGAAAGGGACCCAGTCCCCATAGTCTGCTCTCCCATAGACCTGCTCTCTCAGGTCTTTATAAGACAGGTTACCAGGCCCTTAACCTCTGTGGTCAACTCAGTTTGTCAATGTCTCTCCCCTTTTTAAAGTGAGTTGCTCAAAACCTGAAACCATGATTCAGGTGCAGTCTGATCAATATGGAAATGAGCAGGTCTCTCTTGCATATGGATGCTCTTGTTGGATACAATTCTATTAGTGCTTTCCAAGAGTAAATAACCTTGTTATCCAGCACTGATTCATAATCAGCTACATACCCAAGTCTTCTAAAGCATACATTGGTACTCAGGCAATTGGCCATTTTCACCTAAATCTGTGTGAGATTTGTCGTCATTACATTTCATCATGTTAAATTTGTCCCAATACTTTGGCTTGTCAGGAGCCTCTTTGTATCCTGAACTAATCCTTTCCATCTACAAATGTACCAATTTATCAATATTGCTATCTTTATATGAACCAAAGTTTAAAACATCTGGCAGAAAAGGCCTCAGGATGGAGCCCTTCACTTACTACCAGAGATCTCAAATCAAAGTATTCATTCAACCAGTTAAAACCCTCCCTCCCCATCCTCAATACACACACCTCCACCTCAACAGTTCCTCTAACTCAAGTTGTCGGGGAGGAAAAAGGTTAATAAATATTCCAGGTTACTAACTGGCTGGTTAAAGTGGCCTGGAAAAAAAAAACAACGAGGAAAGGAAAGGAGGAAGTGAATAAGACTTAGTCAAGGGCCAAATGTGGCAGGACAGAATTCTGTGAAGCTACCTAATCCAGGCCCACACACCAGCACAGGTTGGGAGGCATTTGGAAGATAGGCCAGAGTTCTGCTGTTGATGAGAGAGGAAATCAATAACTAGGAAACAGAAGCAGTGTTGGAAGCTAGCCAATTAGTACATCAAACTCGAGGGAGTAGGCAAGACAGAGACAGGCAAGGGTCACAAGGAGAATGAAGCAAAGAATGAGCATGTGGAACAGAATCTGGGCATGCTCAGTGGGCTCCAGAGCTGTGCTGTCCAATATGGTATCCACTAGCTACAGGTAGCTAATTACATTTAATAAAAAATAAGTAAAAACATCAGTGCCTCAGTCACATAGCCACATTTCAAGTATTCAATAGCCACATGTGACTAGTGGCTACCATGTTGGATACAACATTTCTATCACGAAGAAAGCTCTATTGGACAGTTCTGCTCTAGAGCATTCTAGATGTACTTCTAGAAAAGGACAAACCAGGCAAGTTATCATTTTAGTGTACTTATTTTTCCTTTGCTTTCCTTCCTCCTGTCCACATACATTGCATAGGCCATCTTCGCCAGGCAGTCAAGAAGTTGAACTCAAGGTCTGATTTGCTTGATTTAAGATATCTTGTCATCTTACCTATGGGCCCTCACTAAATTTTCAGTCTGCCTCTTTCTCTTTTAATTTCCTGTGCCAGAAGCTCTTAGAATTTCTCATAATAAGACCTATCAGTTCTACCTTCTAAATCTCTCTAGAATCTGTCCCTTTAGTCAATACTTCAGTTAATTTATCTTCCCTCCTTTCCCACACAGCCACCTAAATGCTCTAAGACCCTTGCCTGACCATGACCTCTTCCCTACAGCCCTTCAGTGGCTGCCATGACATCATAAAGGCCTGCTCTTGGGCCCCCAACTACCTTTCTGGTTTCAGGTCTTTCCACCCTGATATGTAGCACATGCTCCAGCCTCTCCATTACTCAGAACTGAGGTGCCCATTCACATCTCTGAGCCCTTGCATTTACAGTTCCCCCTGTCTGAAATGCCACCCCCCTCACATACACTATTTCCCCTGGGAATTTCTATGCCCATTAAGGTTCCATTTAAATTTCCTCTCCTCTGAGAAGCCTATCCTGAACCCTCAAACAGACTTCAGTGATCCATCAGCTGTGCCCAAACACTGCAGACTTTGGTCATAACGCATCCTGTGTATGACACACATGAGTCTGTTTCTCCCACTGAACTGTGAGGTCTCAAGGGCAGGCAGCACATCTGACTCATCTCTTACCCCAGTTGCAAGTACAGTGCCTGACTCATAATAAACACTTGCTAAAGGCCTGTTAGCATGAACAACAATCTTTGCCATTATGAGGTTCTACTGTGACCAAAACTGAAGACTATGAGGATCCTCTGTGTGGTTTGCTGCCACCATAGTCCTTGGGTCCACCCATGCTGACAGAGGCCTATGGACAAGTGGCCCTGCCTGGTATTTGAGGATGTA